GATCACCACCAGCTTCACTCATTTTAATGCCACTCATATAGTAATCAATGCCACTCATAATACTATCAGCACATTTGAAGTAACTTGTAGTAGTATTAGTACTTACTAGTACTAGCAGAACTTCTTATCATAGTAGTGAATGCTGAAAGTTACTACTAATACTAATGATGATACTTCTCATTGTTTACTACTAGTACGGTATGGATGGTACTAGTACTACTACTAGTACTAGTACTACTACTACTAGTACTAGTACTACTAGTACTAGTACTACTACTAGTACTACTACTACTACTAGTACTAGTACTAGTACTACTACTACTACTAATTAGATTGTTATCTAATTGATAATGGTGGTGTTTGGTTGTTGTTTTTTGTGTCCTTTCCTTTAGCATCAATGTGTCTGTTATTGGATCAACAATTCCAGCACTTCCATTACTGCTATTATGGCAACAGGAGCATACTTTCTCACTTTCATAATGAATGGACCACTCTTTCTCAAGCCATTACTGGCTAGTGAGTAGTAGATTGCTTGAAACTAATTCACTAGAACAAWAAATGTTTGTTTGTTAGTGCTTGCTGGTCCCTTGAGTATCAATGCATCTGCCTTGCAGTCCCTTGAGTATAGAGGAGGAACTGCAAGGAAGCTTTGAGTTGCTGCAGAAGGCTGTGCACAATCACAAGAACATGTTAGAAGATAGAGATATTTGATTCCAATAGATGTGGTGACAGGACAAGACACAGATCTGAGATAATATCATTACTATGTAGGGATGAATGGTGGATTTAGTAGTATTGTATGCATGACTTTTACTACAAACAGTATGAAAAGCTGGAGAGATTCTGATAGGCCCATAAAACAGTTGTTGCTTTTTGACTAGCTGATGTTGGAATGGCTGGCAAAGACATCAGACAGCTGTTGCTGGATAAGAAAGGTAATTTGAAGTTGAAGATATCTAAAGGGCTGATACCGTCCAAGTTGGATGCTTGTTAATGATTGTGTGAAAAAGAATAAGAATGAAAAAAGGGATAAGGGGAGAGAGTTCCTCTGCTGGCATACTAGGGGCTGTGATAAATAGACCTAGTATTAGTAGAAGGAAAGCTCTTGTGTCAAGGAAAATGAATTAGATAAAGAACACTTCATTTGATCTTTATAAATGCATGGTKRTGTTGATCAGTAATGCTGACATGCGCAAGTTGAGGTGACGAGACAAGATAATTCTCGTTGTTGCTCATAACGTGTGAAAGAATGGTAAGAGTTTCTTTCTAGTATCGTAGAAAAACAGTGAATGAAGAGTGGAATTACGTACTAGCAGCTACTTTGTATTTGTGACTGAGGTATCACCTTGCACGAAGAAAGACTGTACTAGAACCAAGAAACAAATAATAATAATGACAATAATTTGAGTACTACCACGAATCTACTTCGCAAGACCAGAGTAGGTTGTAGTGAATTATTAATTTCTTTCTAGTGATATACAGTACTCTACTATAAATCAGGGGAAGTTGCTTGTTGCGGTTGCTTTGGTTACAGGGCGTTCAACGTGAACGACGCGTGCAAAACTACTCCACTAACAATAGTTGATTGTCACCAGCAATACCGAGAAAAASATCCCAACATCGCACTGAACCCGACATCATGCGCCCAAAAGGAAAATAATTGATTTTCTCGACGTTATTCGCATAATAAGAATCTATCTAGACCAACCGAGTTGATGCAGTGGTGAATGCACGCCTGATGAAGCTCAGGAGAAAAGAATAAGTGTCATAACATCATGAGTGYATTGAAGAATGAGCTTGCACATAATCCAAAGCGTCGYATCTGTAGACATTACAGATAACTGGCAAAGGCACGAAAGGAGCCATGCCATACTCATTTTGAAAACTCGGGTTTTCGAGAAATATCATTTTGAAATTGTCCGTGGAATAAATTAGGGAGGCAAATCGATGGGACATTCTGAATTCCAATTAGCTCGCAAAAACTCTATGAATGTGATGTCTCCTCCTCCGTCTTCGTCTTCCAAAGTCATGCAAGTTGTCAATTGAGACTCGTTCAAGGGTCCATCTGATGATTGTCTCATCATATTATCTTTAAGCTCTGAAATTGGGACGTAATCCTTTCCATTGGCAATCGAACGGAATGAAAGGTACAATTCCTCTATGTTTTTCCTGGAACAGCCAAGCTCTTCACACAAATCAATTATTAACTCGTCTGATATGCCTGGTAATACGAGAGTTTCAGATTCATCATTTGCTGTAGCTAAGGCTTTCAAGGCAATGCGGTTCATGCTCAACTCTCGTAGTCGAGAAGCTTCTGTATTTGTCGTACAAACACCCAGTAAGGAGGCGAATCGTATACTCGTTTCTGTTTTTTCAACAATGACTTCAGTTGCCCCAGCTTCTATCAGCTTCGGTGCAATTCTACTTTTGCCTTCGTAWACATAAATTGGAGTTCCTTCAGGCAAGAAGGAGCGCAGTCGCATAGTTGCACTAATTCGTCGATCATCAGAGGCGAAAGCGACGATCGCTGCTTTTGGGTTCTTCACGCCAGCAGCTTTGAGCAGTTCGCTTCTGGCACCATCACCAAAGACGACTGGGGCCCCGTTCAATGTCCCCGCCAAAACGCGCTTTGGGTTCAAATCGAAACAAATCACATTGCTTCTTTTAGTGCCAGATAGCCCAAAGCCGTCCAATATTTGATATAATTCTTGACCAACTTGGCCAAAACCACAGATAATTATGGCATCGTCACTAAATGACAAGTCGCTGGTAGGCATGGCAGACTCTGCCATGTCTTTCTTGCAGGCATCGGACAATATGCCAGATTCTGTCCCAACCTTCCATTCCTCTCGCGAGATCACTCCGTCACCATTAGTGTCGAACTTCTCGAACACCTCTGCAATCGCTGGATATGAGAAATTGAGTTTCACTAGAGCTTCCCTGAGCTCTTCAATCTCAATTGTCTCAGATTTGTCAATATCAATTTTGTCGAAGAGAGCAATTTCTTCTTCAGCCGTCAAACCATCGGCACGTACGACTCCACTCTGAGATTCGATGAAGTTTCCCGCYGCTGCACCGATTTCTCCTAATATCGGGGTGAGCGACATAGATATTATAACGGAAGCAATTAATAAATTCGCAATCTTGTCTGGCAGTATCCCAAGGTCTTGAGCCAACTGAAAGACGACAAAAGCGAACTCTCCGCCACCTGACAACACCAAGGAGACCCGTGCAGATTCAGCGGTCGTAAGTCCCAAAGATGGACCAGAAGCGAAAATAATTCCCGCCTTAGTCAATATAAAAATTATKATTCCAGCAGTYAGCGTCGGCCACTCCCTGAGGACGAGGAGAGGATCTAGATTCGCACCGGCAGTGATGAAGAATATTCCCAAGAGAATCCCTTCGAATGGTTTTATGTCCGCCTGGATCTGAGCCCGATATCTATTACTAGCCAACAAAACACCCGCAGCAAATGCCCCGGTAGTTGCTGAGAGTCCTAGGTAATCGGCCACCTGACCCATCCCCACTGCCACTAACAAGGAAGCAGCTACAAATGTTTCTGTGGATCTAGCCGATGCCACCACGTCAAAGGCATAACGAAGAACATAGCTTCCCRCTACCAGTACGGCACCAAATCCTATTGTCGCCTTAGATACCAGAATTCCCAACTCGAGCGATGACTGTGGCGCGGACGGACCGCCGGCCAACAAAGGCAAAACGACCAGAAGAGGTGCCACCGATAAATCCTGAAGCAGYAATATTGACAGTCCAGCAATTCCTTCTGGCCGTTCTTCCCAGTCCTTTTCTTTCAAGAATGGTAGAACAAAAGCAGAAGACGATAAGGCACCCGCGGATGCAATGCAAAAGGATTCTATGGGATTGTCAAAGAGCGGTTTCAGAAGTTTGATGTTGACCGGCAATCCAATTTCTTTTGCGTACTCGACGAGGATGGGTCCCATCAGTATCGATCCAAGAAAAATCAAGCCAATACTTATGATCAATTGGAATGCACCAAGTCCTGTAAAGCGACCGAGCTCCTTAATGCGCTCTGGACTYAGACTCAAACCCTCATTGAAGAGCAGGAAAAGAATACCAAAATCTCCCAACACCAGATCTTGTTCACTATTGTCAAACAATCCCAACCCATATGGACCTAGAACGCAGCCCGCGAAGAGAAACCCAAGAACCGGTGTTATTTTCAGTGATTTGCAAATAGGGACCACAAATACACTAGCCGTTAAAAAAACAAATATGTCGTGACCGAGTGAGCCCTCTTCCGTCGAAGGTACACCTTCTGTAGCCGGCGATAATTGCACAGCGTCTGYTGCATCGGCCAACACATTCGAAAAACTTGGTATTGTTTGGTGTATCCTTTCTATTGTTGACGCAATGTCCGGTATTGCGTTAACATCGATGTCCATCGCCATCGTCAATGAAAAGTCTGATTTGGATCTTCGGGTGTAGTTATTATTGTTTGCGGTTCTTCGTTTTGTGTAGATATTGATATTTTTAGCTCGGCGACAACCGTAGCTGCTGCCATGATGATAGCGGTTATTGGAGTAACTCGACGATTTCGATGGAGACTTCAGATAGAACGAGTTCGACGACAAAGCTTGTACTTGCTCGTCAAAATGAGATACGAAGAGAAATATTGACAGTGCATTGGCAATYGTAAATGGCCACATTGCATGCGGCCAAGGTGGATTCGGTTTGTTGCGCTGCCTCATTACGTTTTACACAGACCCGTTGCGTTGCTATCGCTGTCGCTGGGTTTTATCGAAGTTTWAACGTGACTAGGAGCGSGTTACAGCTTCGGCTTCATTCATGAATTCTCAATTGAATACGGTTGGTGTCAATTTTTGTTGAATGCTCAAAAAAGTAGCCGTGGCCCGGGACGGATCCATTCTCAAGTTTTTACCTCCAGAATTCTCGACGAAAAGGAACATCATCGGACGTACCTTAGGTCAAAGTTACCGTACGATCGTCCTTGGGATGTTGAAGGCGTGAGTTGGAGGGATCGTGGAATTCCACAGAGATGGAAAGAAGAATGGGACACATTCGGTGGACGCCTATTCGGTGGCGCGTACGTTATGGTAGCGTTGAGTACGAGGAAGTAGTACGAACTAGCATTGTACAATTACTTTCGGCACGAGTACGAGTACGAGTAGGAGTACGTACTACGAGTACTTGATATCTTGTGAAGGGATCGGTGTGAGGCTCAATCACGAGTAGATAGTGAATGACTCATTCCTTGAAGACCATGGGTCGGAATTAGAAGTACTATGAATTAGTAGTATGACTTCTGACCTACGGTACAGTACGAACGTAAACAGTACGGTATGTTATTCAGTGAGAGGGCGGGKTGATAGGTAGGATCAAACTGGTACTTCTTGCTGTACCAGGGTAGCGGTACCAGTACGTAAACTTAAAGATTGACAACGACTAAAAACAAAGGGAGCGCATGGGGAGATGATAACGGCCATACAAAAATTAGGAGTATGGTATTTTAACGTTGTAAACGGCGCCTGAAAATCTCGTTTCAGAATGGTTGTGCGAAAAACGAYCGTGGATTACTCAGTTTCATTCCCTTGGTCGTATTCGAATCATTCGGTACCATAGGTGTGACAATCAGCAAAAATTAAGCACGTTATTGAATCTTCAGAATGGCTTCTTCACTCGTCAATGCATCGGTTCTCCTTGACGATGATCTTGAGCAACCATTGATACGTACACCCAAAGAGACCGGAGAYCATGAACAAAATAAATCCAATCCTCCAAGCACAGAAAGTASCATCAGTTGGATGAAATCCTGTAGAGAAAAAATGTTCAGGACCTCCCACTTTTTCTATGGATTCTGGCTAGGGCTTATGATCCAGAGCATTAGTCTCGGGTCCACAGCGATCATCGTGATATACTGGGGTGCCGGAGACGGAGAATCCTCAGATTCGATTATCTCGAACAGGAAACACGGATTTTTCTATTTTGTTTTGTTCATTCTCTCTCGATCATGGTGGCTTTTATTCCCAGCTATTTTCATTGCGATCGATGAAGGATTGATGGGGGGCAAAGGKCAAGGAATTATGGGGAAATGTTTTTCGAGATTCAATCGCTCTAACGCGGAAAACGTGTTGTCGAAACCGTCACAAACAGAAGTGTTCTTCGGTGGCATTCGATTCCACATCGGAATTATTTTCGGATGCTTCGTTATTTGGGGTGCAATTGATTTGTATTTTGGTGCATCGTTGGGTGTGTTTGTCGGCCTGCTTGCATCATTACTATTTTGTCTCAGTCTGTGCTATGGCATGGTCGTCATTCACGATCGATTTCTTTCGCATGACCGAGCTGTGGCAAAGAATACAACAACAACAGAAGCGATCGCAGCAGTAGCAGCAGTGATTCCACAGTCACCTGATCAAAGAAAAGTTGTCTTCGTCTAATCACTCCTTTTTTAAAAGCAACGCTATTTGGATACGATGAAATAATGTGATCAGAAATCAAGATATTATATAGTATTGCAATTCGGATGGATTTTCTAAATTTTTATATTGTTATTTAGTACTGTACTACATCAAAAATTATTCAGTACCCCGAAGTACCCCTATTCTTTAATGTCGGCTGTAATGTGAAATAAGAGGCCTTCYCTTCGTTTTCTTTCGCGGGTCCGAATYWCTTTCGTATCTCTTATCTATGTTTCTACATGAGATCCCTCGAGCAAAGCATTTACTTGCCAACTAACTAYCTTTAAAGTTAAGGACTGCCCAAATATGTATGGTTCTACTTWTCCATTTTTTTATGTCGAAACACTCCTCACTTTTCAAAAAGTTCTTGGTTTGATCAATTTTGAAAAGCGATGATTGGATGGTTTCGTCTTTTACTAGCAATAACTKTTCGAAGATGATCCGAAGGCAACACCAACGAGAWTTCTATTTTCGTTCAATTTCCTATCGCTCATTATGGTAAGACTTTTTAGGTGCCGGGTTGGTCCACCACTTGGGAGATTCTACAATTCGCGCCAGATTGATAAATTTAGAATTCAATATTGCCGCAACGATGCAGGATTTGATAATGTAAGTTGGTCAATATAGCCAAAATACTGCTACAACTGATAGACAAGATGGTTTTCTCAAACCGATAGTCGCGATATGAKTGTTGAGCACTATACATTAGTCCCTAAAATGACTCAGTATYCATTAGACTTGATTCATTCGTCGATAACTATTTTTGCACATCAATCCCCCAACCCCATTTGTGCAAAGAAAGTCATGTTTTCTTCGCTGAATTCGTGYTATCCCAATCTCGCTTATTTTTATTATTGCTCGTCGTCCCAATATCATTGGCGTTCAATGCAAAGATCGCATCTGCCGGCATTTCCTGGAGCATTGCATTCTCCCTTTGCAATCTATTAATATTTGTGGTAGCAGCGAGGTTAGTGTTGAGTCCAAAAATCCCGTTTCCCCGAAGCAAATTATTTTCCAGTTGCAACCTTTGAGAATCTTGCTGCGTTTGCTGTTGCATGCGTAGTATGGTGTCAGGATGTGAACCCCCAGAAAAATGGCCACTAGAACCAGGTCTGGATGACCGTGTATTTGCAGACGCTTGAGCGATGTGATTCGCTATCAATGATGTGAAGAGAGAATTAGCTGCTTTTTGCGGTGGTTTCGGTTTCGACATRGCCATCGAAGGCATGGCAGAGGTAGGCTGAGATATCAAGGAAGAAAGCATAGAATCCGTAWGTGGACTTGAATCCCTTTTAGTTTTCTTATTTCCGTTCGACAAAAGAGAATCTAGAATCTGTTGCTGAAGTTGTGGGGATGCGTTCGTTTGCGGAAATTGTTGTAAAGATTGAACGCTAGTGTTCAAATGCTGCTGCTGCTGCTGCTGCTGCTGCTGCTGCTGCTGCTGCTGTTGACTGAGTTGAAAGAATAATTGCTGCTGCTGTTGTTGCTGCTGGTTCATATGCTGATGTGAACTTTGGTGTGTATATTGTTGCTGTTGTATTTGTTGCAGCTGCTGTAGTTGCTGTTGTTGTTGTTGTTGTTGTTGTTGTTGCTGCTGCTGCTGCTGCTGCTGATACTGCTGCTGCTGATACTGCTGCTGCTGCTGCTGCTGCTGCTGCTGCTGTTGCTGTTGCTGTTGCTGATGCTGATAATGCTGCTGCTGTTGTTGTGGTTGAATGAGCGTTTGGAGAAGTGAATTTGGTATCGAGTTAGGTTGCTGTTGGAGCACGTTCTGGAGAAGGGCGTTCACTTCCGGTTGTTGCTGTAACAGTTGCTGTTGCAGTTGCTGTTGCAGTTGCTGTTGCAGTTGCTGTTGGTTGGCATTCTTCATACTAGCGGCGCTTACTAGAAGATTCGACGTAGGAAGTAAATTTTGGGACAAACCATTGTTGTTGTTTGGAAAAAWGGATGCAGTCGGTGCAGCCTGTTGCATCGAATGAGGATGTTGCTTCAAATTACCAATTGCGGCTGCAATACTACCGGTAGCTTGAGCCCGTTCTGCAGAAGGTTGCTCGATAGGAAGCTGCGATWTTGGTGACATTTCTCCAGCAACTTGAGCTGACTGTAAAGATGCTAGTAAATGCCGCAAATTATTTTGTTGAGTTTGGAGGTYTGGGGAGATTGTATTCATTCCATGTAAAGTCATGTGGGCGGGGCTAAGTAATCTTTCTGTAGGGTTCATTGAGGAACTTTCGGGACTCTCCGCGTGCTTCGATCGTCGAGTTATTTTTGCATTCCTATCTCGCAAAGAGGCCCCGAAGAACATGTTATCGCCCTTAGATGGAAAGGTGACTKCTGCTCTTTTCTTGCGTCTCTCTTCTTCGAGTGGAACCTTCTTGTAGTGCACGTATCTGATTGCCTGTTTCGTCTTTTCAGCTGCTTCTTCCTCTGTCAYTTCTATGTACTCCTGTCCTKCGTTATGTTCTCCAATCTGGACACTTTGATCACTTTTTTCGGATCCGTCCTCATTTGATCGCTGCAAGAATCGTCCGTTTCTTGACTGAATGAGTTTCATCAATTTACTAATCATCTTTGCTTTTTCTTTTCTACTGGAAGTTGCGACGTACGCCGGTCTAAGTTCTTCTACCAAAGCCCGGAAGCGAATATTTCCGGTGTTTTGCATTGATCCGGATCCCCTRCCTTGAAGGACATCATTATCGTTAAGCTCCGTTATCAATACTCGCACAGTGGTATCCTTTGAAGCAGAAGACTCRGAATTTTCATTACCTTGCCTTCCAATAGTCGATSCAAAGGTGATGTTTTGATTCGCACCATCCCCGACATCTGTTGTCTTCGCCATGATAGGAATCGAGAAAACCTCTGATAGGCGATTCTTCTTCGATTCTATCTGGCACTTGTTCAGTGTCGTGATTTGATAATACCAATGCTGGAAAATTCAATCTTCGGTCAACAAGGTGAACTGCTGATCGACCTGTTCGGGAATCATTATCCTCACAASAAGAACAATTTTTGAGAGGCGGATAGTCTTCTGATTTTTTGKTTTTTTGGTTYTAATTGCGAAACTTTCAAATACCGTTTCGTCAACACTTGACTAAATAACTGTTTRCCTTTTCGTTTTTCTACCGGTACCTTTCTTAATGAACCCACCTCGTACGTTGAAGGTTGACTGACATCGTATGAATATTTATCAGTACATTCCGCGTAATGTGTGATGA